CTTTGCACAGCTTCAGATAGGTTTGCATATTTATTTTTTCTTGTTTACTTTATAAATGAAATCAAATTTTTAAAAAGTGTATGTATTAATGTATTAAAACTATTTATCATCTTTCTATGATGTTGAAATGTGTTTAATCAAAAAACAAAACAGAAGTAATCTATAAGGACTAAATAACTTCTTAGAGAATTGTTGAAAGAAAATGCTGTGATTGTTAAGGGACATTAGAATAAAGAGGACATTATTTGAGATAAGAGGGAAGTCAGGAAAATTTCATGTTGGTGCTAGAAAGTCTAGAATTTAGAATATTTAACAACAGGTGTGGTGGATGAACACAGCAGTGCCCCTTATTGTGATTTTGAAAATAAGAAAAAATAGCTGGACATAGACTTAGAAGATTTCCCTGGATATGATTATATTTCTACAAGTGGTAAATTAACTGCAGCTGAAGAAGATGTCGGAGCGGGTTATATAGATCTCGGCATGAGTGTCGCCTCTCTGCTGATAATCCTGAGTGTTTCATGTTTGTCATCAGACAGAGAGAAAAGCCTTTAAACAATATTAAGTAACTCCGGCTATTTCAAAACATAGACAAAGTCTAAAGCAGTAAATGTTTCAGGCAACCAAACCACATTTCTTTATTTGAAAATATTCTGTTGGTCCACGCTGTTAAAGTAGACTTTTACATAATTGATTCAATAATTCAAGATAATGATTGATAATTACTACATGATTACTAGGTTCATTGCAACAAGATATGCTTGGAAAGTGTTAATTAACTTTGAAAAACAAAACTTATTACTTTTTGTTTAGATTTAGCAAGACAGAGCAACACAAAGAAGCCAGTATTTATAGCCAGCCCCTTTTATTGTGAATTCCCTAAAAACCCCTATCATCCCGTTGAAAACAGAGACCAGTTGTTCTGTTTCTGGTCTAAGATGTTTGTTAGACAGCATCAAAGAACAACCGGCATCATTAAAATCAAAGGACCATGTAGAATATCCGGGAGAAAGTTGTGGAAGAGTTTGAAGCAGGGTTGGATCATGAGTAAATATGAGCTTTGAACACCTCCCAGAGGTCTGTCTAATCCATCCGCAGAACATGGAGATAGGATGGACAAACTGCAGACCTACCTAGCTGTGGATGGCAACCTCAACTGAAAAGATGACTAAGGAGAGCATTAATCAGAGAAGTAGCCAAGGGGAGCTGGACTCTGGAGGAGCTAAAATACTGCTCAGGTGGGAGACTACAGGAATACGGATGATACAGATACTGGAGAGCTCCCCAAGTCAAATCTTAATGAAATATTTGCACAAAAAAGACAGAAACCTATTGAAAGAGTTAATGAGTAAATTCAATTCAGTTTATTTATATAGCACCAAGTTATCTATCTAAGGAAATCCAGTCGATTGCATCAACTCATTTACTTGAAGGCAATCCCCCACACTAAGCATGCTTGTAGCAACAGTGGAGAGGAAAAACTCCATTTTAACAGGAAGAAACCTCCAGCAGAACCAGGCTGAGTGTGAGCGCCCATCTGCCGAGGCCGAATGGGGTTCAAGGAGACAGAAGCAGAGATAGAGAAAGAAGCAGAGAAACTATAAACAAGGGTGTTGATGGCAGCAGCACAGCTATTTCTCTCAAGGATGGTGTCACAGCCAAAAAGGAACAGACGAGGCAAAGCTACTATGAGAAAAAGCAGAGAGAGAATAGAGATAGAATGATGCAATAGGGTTCCCTATGTCCTCCAGCAGTCTAAGCCTATAGCAGAATAACTATAGAGATAGCTCAGGATAACCTGAGTCACTCTAACTATAAGCTTTATCAAAAAGGAAAGTTTTAAGCCTACCCTTAAAAGTAGACAGGGTGCCTGATATCATATTGAACCACTAGATGTCAACATTGCATTTAGACAGGGTGTCTAAATGAATCCAAGCTTTGTCTGCAGGTTGCAAGTTCCCAGTTCAATCCCCTCAGTCTCCACACGGGCGTCCCTCTGCAAATCCCTTAACCCCACCCTGCTCCTTGGGTGCCACACAATGGCAGCCCACTGCTCCTCTTGTAGATGGGTTAAATGCAGAGGAAAATTTCTCCAGTGTTAGATCAAAGTTCAATTATTATTAGGTTGTCAAATACCATGTAGACACAGCAGACATTTTGGAGAAGATTGTCTGATCAACAGAACAGCCATTAGTATTTTATCTATAAAAAATCTGGCACGTATGTAAGATTGCCAGGAAGAAACTCAATGGCTTAATCTGAGTACACTGAATTATAGCCCTAACTCCTGTTGCTAGTTCCTATTAATTCATTTTTCATGGTGCCAAAATAAGAACTAAGAACTATAAAAATGTTGGTTACAGAACTAATGGATGAAGCTCTCTATCATTACACTCGAAATATATGAAGGTCTGTAAATTTGCATGTGTCACACATGAGCAAAGCTGCTAAAGACTCGTCACAAAGAACCCGCAGGTGTAACTGAAGGGAATAGAGGTTCTACATAGAACTGACTGAGGGACCTGACACAGATTTCTTGTTATTTTTGCATAGAGTTGAAAACTATGTGTTAATTTCTTTCCACTTTGCACTAGTTTCCATTGCTCTAAAATATAAAATGTGGATGAAGATTCTGGCTGACATGGATAAAAAAAAAAATCAAGAAAGATTAATAATTTTGCAAGGCATTAAAATAAATGGTACTTTTTACTGATGAAATTGGCATGAAATATTTAATAGGAAACTAATAATAAGTGGCAGTGGGTCATATTAAAGAAGTTGCAAAGAGGAAAAGGAAATAAATTTATAATAAGACAAAGAATAAAGATTTAAAAATTAAAACCACATTTAAATTAAATTTCTTAATCTTCTATTAGTGATGCTTTCATTAAATGCAATTTCAAACACCTCAAAATACACATTCATTTTAATAAATAAAATAACTAAAAATACTGTCATTGTAAAACAGATTAAAAAAAAAAACTAAGGGCCTCCCTATGTTCTGTACTCTTATTATGAGGTTTATAGAGTACATACTGTATATATTATATATGTTAATTAAATAGTTTTAAGTTATATCTATCCCATATACCTAAAGATTTCAGAAATGATAAGTCGTCTTATTCAGAGCAATGGTGACATCTAGTGGTTCAATATATCCTCTGCATCAAATTTGTGTTTATGAAGTTTTTACACTGGCAAGAGCTTCAGAAAGTCATTTTTGTTGTAGGGAGAGCCAAGGGGCAAAGCTTTGTGGCTCTTAAAAAATATTCAGGAACAATTCCTTTCCTAAACGTCCACTATGGTGAAGTGTTCTGTTTTAAGAAGGTACAGTGGTGACCTTAGGCGTGCTTAGGTGTGCTTCACTGCCAAAGTACTTTCCACTGTATAATTGATGGTAATGAAATATAGTGGTCTTGAGTGACAACATTTGGTCTGAAGTTTTGATTGTGATTACTTCTGATCCCTGATTAATTATACATCATCAGGGGGACTGTTGATTGTTTATTCCATGATACTATGATGTTGAAAGAAACAGCATTTAAAGTTTTCTTCTATGATTAATATCCTGGTCATGAGCAGTAATTAATGAGTTTGTTTTCAGGGGGAAATGTTAGGATAATTATCATTGAAGATGTGTGAGTTCATCACACCCTGGAAAGGGCTGCCTGTTGTGCTTAAGAATCGACATTTTGATCTAATTAGGACAATTACTCTGTCAGGATGTACAGTTTGTACGTGGCAAAGATTTGGAAATGGAATGAGAGCAGTGTCCTTCAGCTAAGAACCAAGTGTAATATTTTGATAAGGCTGGAGTCATGGATGTCTAATCATCTGCTAATATGTATGATGTAAAATATGATGATGTGGCCGACTGGAGATGTATAAAATGCCTTTTTAACTGTTAGTCAGGGCCACTTCCTGAGAGGTGAGCCCAGAGGTGAGCAGCTGCCATTCTTTAAACTCTAAGCAATTTCTCTGATCTGATTACGATTACAATTTCTATCAAAATCAGTTTTGTCATGTCTCCTGGTTATTTAATACATAGAAGTTATGAAATGTTATTTAAAGAGTTTGTCCGAATGATCTCTTTTCAGGGAAAAGAACCGGAGGGATAGAGCATCTTTAACAATATATATAGATATAGATATTGTTTTTATTTGTAACACTTATTGCTTTTGTGTTTGTATCCATGTAGAGGGGTTATCTATTAATCTATTTCATTAAAAAATGTCTGATGTGTTATGTTTTTAAAAGACACCAATGCTTGTTTTTAAAAGATTGGTCTCTTCAACATCGTTAAAAAAAATACATATTTAACATTCAGGAGGGGGAAAAAGTTTATGTTGTCCAGTTATCTAGTTGTCATTCTTTTTGTAACGCCATGATCAGATCCCCCTCTGCAGCCAATGAGAAACAACCATAATCCTACCGCGATGGCTTGCTTATCACCGATTGGCTTATATTTATTTGACGTAATGCGTAGCTCGGTTTTAATTGGTCCCTCCCCTTCCTTTAGTGGGTCACTCACGCCCCTTACCTTTGATCCAGGATACACGGAACACATCGGTGGAAGGTGCGTAGCTCATTTCTCTTGATAAAACTTTAACTTTATGAAACTAAAGCGTGTGTTTAATGTTATATCAAATATCCACGAAGAATTTGGTTTCGGGTGTTACAAATAATCTAGGTTCTCCTTTTCGTTTTTATTAACGGTTCAGCAGATTCGACGCATAATATGTCGCCATATTTAAAATATAGCTGAGTTTTAATGCTTTTTTGTGTTTAATAATAACCGTTAATGGGTGCAGGTATAAAATACTTTAAATGAGTCTCGCCCTGTTTAATGGAAATGTTTAAGATTGATGAGGAAATGTTTACATTTCCGAGTAGATAAGGGATTAAATTAGTTAGAATAGAATAAAATAGAAAATCCCTTTCTTGTCCCACAATGGGGATGTTCTGGTGTTACAGCTGCAAAAATATTATAGAAAAAATAAAAAGTGTACAAGAATAACAAAATAGTGAACAATAAAAAAAATAAAATACTGTACTGTAAAGTGTTATAACAATATTAAAACTGTTCACCTAGAGAATAAATAACCAAAATACAGCTATGGACATTTTTACAGTAATGAATAAATAGCAACACGAGAGATGCATGTTATTTAACTGACTAAGGTAGAAACTGTGCAAAAATCAGCATGAATGTAACAAATTATAGGGAATGTTGGAAACAGTTTTGGTTCTAGAGTCTTCCAGCTACTGGGAGGAAGGATCTTTGATAACGCTCCTTGGTGCATTTAGGGTGCAAAAGTCTGTCACTGAAGGAGCTCTCCAGTTCTGCAAAAGCTTCATGCATGGGGTGGGAGACATTATCCAACAGAGATGTTCATTTAGTTAGGATCCTTTTTGTTTCCCACCTCCTGCACTGAGTCCAGAGGTGAGTCCAGAGTCCAGAGATAGTTACATAAGGACATTTGTATAAATTAGGCTTGATGATTTTACAGCAAAAAGCAACTTTATAGAATTAATTATTAGTATTGTTGTTCTAATTTTACACTGTCACAGAAAATATTGCTCTTTGTGTTGTGACAAAAGAATGTGGCTAAAGTAGCTGACAAAATACAGTTGTATACAAACATATGGAAAGTTTAGTGGAAGGAAAACGTTTGGATGAAAAAGTGTTTTAACAATGAGGAAATCATGGTGAGACGGTTGTGTGAGGAAAAGCCTGTTTTAAGGCAAATCCACAAAGTGTTTTAAGCAGCTCTAGTCTGAGCTTTAACAGGCACACATAATGTATTTAGATCATAGTTTATAGATGTTAGAATCCTTATTATTGAATCTCTTGAACCAGGGGCAAAGGTAGAAGCTGCTTTTCATAGTTAAGGAGAAAAACAGCTAAAATTTATGTAAAAATATTCTCTTAGATTGAAGTAAAGTTGGCATTTTAGTTCTATGTCAATGTCTTGAGGAAGAGTTGAGAGGCTCAGAGCTACTGGATTATTATTTAGACTTTAGTCCACTGGATCTGTGCCATGTGGTTTTATCAAGTGTAATGTCCGTCTGAAATCTAGATCTGCTTTAGATTTTCTTCTAGAATTGAGTCACTGAAGTAAATATACTTTAGAATGAAGAACCAGCTTGTTGAGATTAACTTTTATTACCTGATGTCTTCACTATAACTAAGACTGGGGGAAAAAAGTTGTCAGTCTTTGTTTTCAAGCACTTGAGTGCAAGTCTCTTGATGTTTTTTTTCAATGCTTTCCTGCAGCCTCAGCCATGGACCTCGTGCTGAATGTCGCTGACTATTACTTCTTCACTCCGTACGTGTACCCTGAATCATGGCCTGAGGATGGGGCACTGCGGCAGATCCTCAGTCTCCTGGTGGTGACCAACCTCGGGGCTGCCATCTTGTATCTTGGCCTGGGAGCATTCAGCTATTATTTCATCTTTGACCACAATCTAATGAAACACCCACACTTCTTAGAGGTATGATACCATATGTTGCTAATTGCTTGATGCAGTAACAGAATAAGTTCCAGAACTGCTGAACCTGGTAAACTTTCTTTCTTTAGTGTTTGGAGAAATTTAAAGGAGCACCAACCAGTTACTGCTCCTAAAGATGGAAACATTTTTATTGTTTTTATTTCAAGTGTGAACTGTTTAAAAGTTTTTGGGGTCACTTGTTTAATCTCAGCATTACTTGTTTCTAAAATACAAACTATACATATGAAATAGTACAATTTGATGCAATATATTTATTGTAATCTTTTGGGGTTTTGGGATCTTGAGACCCTATGAAGTCTGAGTCGTAACACATTTAGTACACATTGATAAACAAACTTCCTTAAAAGTTTTTAACCAAAAAGCTCAAACAGTCTGCTTTTTAATAACGGAAATTAAACTGTATATACAGACTAAGCTTATCCCAAATATTATTTAGTTATTTAAAAAATGGTTAAGGATAGATTATTTATTATTGATCTATTTATTAAATAGTATAATGACACAATTCATGTAAAATCGTAAGTCAGGTTACCAAAACAAGTTATAGTAACTTTATTATATGGACAGATTTTTCTTTCCATTCACCTCGATCCCAGTTATTAAACAAAGCAATGAAGGTAAGTTTATTCAAACTGGTTTAAACTTTGTAGATTACTTTGGGAGCATGTAGTGAAAGTGGACATTTGCTTCCATTGTATCATTGATCGCAGCAGTCTTGCATACTGTGCAAGGGGCCATAAGAACATAGTCATATCTGTGTCAGTGAGTGCAGTCAGAAGGAATCATACAACAAATTTAAAATAGCCCTTTTTTTCTGATCACCCCAATAAATGGAAAGAAATACAAATTTTGTGAGTGTGCACGATTTCAAGGTGTGTACGCTTCTCCTGAGCTGAGAGTTTGTGGCCCAACAGCACACAAAGATTTCAAAGTGCAAAGAGTTTCAGTCAGAGTATTTTATTATTTTTTTTCCCTTTTTGAATTGTGGAATGTTAATTTATTTTGCTCGTTGTTCATGCCAAAGCAGTTGGCAGGGTTGCATGCTCATAACGGTGCTACAATAATTGACCTGGATCACCGCCAGGTCATTTGGGTGTGATCGCAGACAGAACAGTTGACATCTGAAGAGCTGACAAGCAAGAAGTCGTGCAAAAGTGTTTTTGCCCCAAGGGCTGTTGGTTAACTTGTTTTGTGATACCATGAGGCAATAACAGCCTATTAGATGAATAAAACATATTATATAATCCAGATATATAGATATTGAATTGAATATAGATAATTCAAAAAAGTATTAATATTCCTGGATTTAGCAGGAAATTATAGATATATAGATATTAAAACGATGTAAAAGGAGAATGCACAATATATGTTTTGATTTTATAGCTTTTTATTAAAAAATTGCATGAAATTAATTATTTATAATCAAAATCTATGATGGATTAGACAGAGATGAAGAACAAAATGAGAAAAGGGTAAAACATAAGTGATTGGTGTACTAGCAGAGATGGTGGAGGTTGGGCAAACTGTGTGGTTTAGAGGTATGGCAGAGACGGCTCTGCTTCTAAACCTTAGTTAAAGGGGATCTGTTATACAAAATTCCCTTTTATCATAATGTTGAACTTCCATTTAAGTCTCTAACGGTTATGTAAACAGTCCAGGTTCAAAATAAATCTTCCAGCCATTTTTTTGTTTGTTCTTTTGCAATAAGTAAATATTTTGCGAGTGTCTGGAAAGTGGGTTGTTTTAACTGCCACCCATCCTAGCAACCCAAGCTAAAAAAAACAACATAACCTTGCCATTAATAGGTGGCAAAAAAGTGCATATAATTCACTTATACCCATCCCTCCATTCCTCCGCTCACTGCAAAAAGGTTTGTTAACCAATTGTTCAAAATCACATTTACTTTAAACTTAACAACTTTTTTTTTTTTTAACCCTTTAAAGTCCGATCCAAGAATAAAACAAAACAGAAAATTACTTTTTTGGGGGTTGAAGTCCATATTTGGCCTTTTAACAAAATATGTAAAAGA